TACTTTCTTACAAAGTGCACCCACACATATTATATATTGTTTTTTAGAGCAGATAGGGCTACATATTTATATCACATATGTGTGTCTAACGCCTCACTTAGGACAAATACAAATTAAAAAAAGAGGAAAAAACGTAAAAAAAAACTTTTTTTCCCAGTTTTGATTTGTAGTATTTTTTTTTAACAAAACCAGCACAGCTAAAAAAAAAATGCAATACATACATTCATTTATTTGTCCCTTATTTTTAATTTTTTTACACTTTTCACTATTTTTTTTAATTTATTTACACTTTTCACTTTTTTTATACTGACAAATTTTATTTATTTAATTATATCAGGCAGTCATTGTGAATTAATCTCACTATTACTGCTTGATAAATTAATACATTTTTTTTATTATCAGGCTGCTTCAAACTTCAGAACAGCCGATAATAAGTTAGTGACACTGATCCTGCAGCAGTTCAGGATTCAGCTGTCAGTGAATGTTTCAGAAAACTTAAACATTCTACTTTCAAGAATAGATACATTATGTGTCTAATACATAACATTTTGTATCTATTCTTGAAAGTCAAAAGATAAAAAAAAAAAAGCCAGTATAGCTTGAGAGAGATATCTCTCGATCTATACGAGCTGTCAGAATGCCGGCAAAAGCCGACATGTGTGTCTGCTTTGCTGTGACTCTCAGACACCCGATATTAAGGTATCGGGTGTCTGAAAAAGGTTAACCCTTTCAGTAATGGATCTCTAGATAGTTAGACATCTATTACTGAAAGGTAACCGCTGATTCTCAGCGGTTAGCAGCCTTCTAGTGCAGCAAATAACTCGTCACGTACAGTGTACGTGACGAGTCATTTGGTCCCTTTGTGGCTGGACGTACAGTGTACATCTCCCGTCACGAAGGGGTTAAAGTGGACCTTTACCCCTTTTGGCTAAAATCACATATAAAAATCTTACATTCATTAGTTAAACAAACATATTTTTATTTTACTTACAATTTCTTGTTTTCTACTTCCTGATTCTCTTTGGCAAAAGCGATGTAATCATGCTCAAGTATTGCATCTTGGGAGGGTTACATCATGGTTACATAGTTGCATAGTTAGTCAGGTTGAAAAAAGACACATGTCCATCGAGTTCAACCTTTAAAGATATGAAAAAAAAAAAAAGCTTAAACTGAACGCTATGCCCACATTTACTCATTGTTGATCCAGAGGAAGGCAAAAAAAACCCAATAAAGCATGGTTCAATTTTCTCCAACAGGGGAAAACAATTCCTTCCTGATCCCATAAGGCAATCGGATATTCCCTGGATCAACAATCTCTGATGCTTGCAGAGCATTGCTGGGAAATCTCATCTGTAATCCCACGAAATCTCAGGGAATGGCATTTTCCTCCCCTGAGATGATGTCCTAGTAACATGTGCCAGAGTCCCAGGAAGTAAAAGGAAAATAGATTCACCTGCCCTTAGTAAAAATGGCCACCGTGAGAAGAATGGAGAGGACAAGAAAAATAAGATATGCAAAAAATAAAAAGCAGACAAATATCTAGAAGTAACCAGTTTGTAGATTGTAATTACTAAACATTTCTAAAGGTGTATTTGTTGTTATTTTGAAGATATAGGTACAGTTATTCTTTAACCCTTGCAGTTTAGGGGTAGCCTCACTGCAAGGACTAATAAAACACATTCCTGGAGTTCTTCCTTATTCCTAAGCTCTCTTACTGCACTGTACGTGGTGTTTAATTACTAAAAGTGTTTTTGCCTTGCCTTGCCGAGTCTCACTTAAGCCACCTTGATGTGCACTCTCCAGGCTGGGACTGAGTCTTTCTATGTCAGTTGGTGCCATGCTTGGGGGCATACATCTGCAGTACGCTGTTGTGCTGCGCAGGGGAACATGTGCGGCACCCTTGTGCAGAGTTTGGGCAGCGTTCTGGTGCTGTCCGTATTGCCCATACACCTAAACACAACACAAGAATGTTGCCTGTACTGTGCAGCTATCCTACTGCACACGTGCCCAAACACAGCACCAGATAGCTGCCTGTATTGTGCATGTGCCTGAACAGAGCACCAGAGTACTGCCTGAACAAAGCACCATAGTGCACCCTGTTCTGTGCATGTTAATGAAAACAGCTACAGGCAGCTCTCTGGTGCTGTGTTTTGGGTACATGCACAGTACAGCAGTGGACAGGGGGTCACTAGACATTTAGAAATCACTGACATGCTCAGGGGGCAATTCCAACTGGAAGTGTGGGGAAGTGCTGAAGAAAGGGCAGCAGGAGAGAGTCAACAGTAACAACTTAAAAAGTAAGACCGGGAACAACAAAGGATATTAACACTATAATTTGGATGGTGCTTAATGTAGATAACTATGTATGTTACACTCAATGTTTTGCAACATTTCGCCTAATTTTGTAACTGAGCTGTAATTGCATCCAGCATTTGTAACATTAAAAGACCTCCAAACTGTTGCACATCCTAGAAATGCCTACTAGCGTGAAGACACTTTTTTCAGCTTCATATGCTCGTCAGCTAAGCACTTCAAGGCTATTCAACTGTGCTCCATTAGGTTCCCAGCAAACTTGCGACTACTTAGAGACAATTTAGAGATAAAGACAATTTTTGAGATAATTCTCCTTTAAGAATAAAACATAAACTAGGATAATAACAATGGTCTACAAGGAGAAGGCCTCAGAAATGAAAGTAGCTACATTTTACCAGAATTGGGTCACTAATAAAGGAACTAAGTCCTGAGTATTAATTGGCTCCAGTTTCCAAGATACAGCTTCAGGTCAAAATTACATCAAAATAATTCAAAATTACGAGGGGGATGTGCGATTATGCTCCATAACGTTTCTGCAAAATGTGAGTAATGAGAATGGTGCCACACCAATCATTATAAATGTATCTTTTTATTGATACCAATAACATAACTTTCCATTAATTTATTGTTTTTTTATGTAACATTTTCATGCTTTTTGCATGAAAACTGACAAGCTCTAACATCAGATTAAACGACAAGGTTACATCTTTATCTGGTATCTAAACTGTGTTTTTTGGCTTTTCTCTTGTGAACTTTTGGGTCCGCTGACATCGATGGCCCCGGATCATCTGCATTCTACTCATCGTCTTTATCACCATTTGAGTCTAGAGAGTAGGATTCTGGTGGATCTGGAATAGGCAAGTCCTCACCTTGGGGTACAGGAGGGAGTGTGGATGGAATATTTGGATATTGCACGGTCTACTTCTTCTTTCTTGAGATCTCTTTTGCAATTTGGGGGAACCATGCAAAAATAGCAGTCGCTACTATCATTGGTTGGTTCCCTCCACACCATTGGGACTGCGAAAGGCACAGACTTTTTCTTCTTGTTTAGCCAATGATGCAGATAAGTTGCACATGTAATGCAACAATAATGAGGGGCCCAACTCTTATTCTGATCCCCTATTTTGCATCCAAAATATAGGTGGTATGACGTTTTTACCACTGCCGTCATACTGCACTTTTGAGATGCAAATGTAGCAGAAGTTATCTGCATTGTTTACACAGTTTCGAGGCATCTTGGCTTCTGAGGGAAAATATCACGCAACTGTTCCTTGGAAATGTTAGGCAAAGACACTTTCACAAGCCACCAGATGTAACTGTATGATGCGTAGATCTGTCCAAGACAAATGTACCTTGCAATAGAAGAACAATAAATTACAGTTAGGTAATAATCTTTAGCCTCAAACTGAAGATAAATGTATACACTTCTCTGTGGCACCATTTTAATTGTTCTACCGTACTTTGTCAAGAAGTTACAAGGCATCATGATTATTAGACACCTCCCTCCCTTGTAGGCAAATATACTCGCCTGTGTATAAATCTTTATTGTGAAATATCTTGAAAACTTGAAATCAGCACCTTTTTATCACCTGTTTTCTAATTCATCTAATCAACATATGTAAGAATTAACACATTTTATCTCAGAGGTCCATAATTTCCCAAAATTTGTAGACCAGTGTAATCTGTCAATATGCACTTGAAATCAGGGATGCAACAGTGGAAAAGATGGCGATGATGTGACCAAATTGATAAATGTCCCCGTGTTTTTCTTTTTTCCTTGTACGTGACTGGATATTCGTTGCAAATTGAATTTTCAACACATTCACTTAACTAAGAGAAATTCTCTTGCAAAATGAAAATTCACTTTCTAAGTGAACAGTCTATTTGCCTTTAGTAAATCAACCCCATATTTTTCACCTGATGGGGTATAAGAATGGAACACTCTCTCGTTAACAGTATAGGCTCTAACCAAACTCTACTCACAATGCTCTCCATCACACCTCAACACTTTTGTGGAGTACATTTTTGGGGAGTGCTCTATGGTTACAGTATGCTCACATCTGCAGGGGGCAACTGTCCTATACAGGAGGGCATCACAAAAAGTCTGCATTACAACATGCCTTGCCCTTTCACAAAGCAGCATGCACACTTCTTTTACTTAGTAATTTATTTCCCTGTCTTTTATCATTCCATGAGCTCACCAAAATTCTAATACTAGAAGGGAAATGCTTTAAAGATTGCAGCCTGGCAAAAAAAGGTTTTTTTTGTTGATTTAGGTTTGTGGCGAACTGGTCACATTATGGGAAGAATTAGCTTCAGGAAAAACAATTCACTCATCTCTAATTTGGGTCATCAATGGATATTTTGTCTTATAAAATAGTTAGCTGAACTTGTGTGTTTTAAAAAAAATATAATTACATTTTGTATAATGTTTAAAAAAAGGCATTGAGTTTCTATGATTAGATAAGTTGGTGTCCCATTGTTTGGATGGGTGCCTGGTATATACACTGTGCCAAATGCAAGTTCCATATCGCATCTGAAGCACTAATATTTTGGATATTTAAACATCATTTACCTGAATGTAAACTCCATTCTGTGGAGTTCTATGTGGTACTAAACTGGGATAGTGCTGATAATTTTGTGTGGAGCAAGTAACAGTATGTGACTAAGAAATGTTTTTGTTACAGGTCAGTTACTCCGTCTGAAAGTGTTTAGAGATGACCATGGCTCTTGGATGACAATGTTTTTCAGCACAATACTTTTCCTCTTTATCTTCTCACATATATATAATCTTTGTCTTCTTATGGCTGGAAATATGAGGTAAGTTTGAAATGGACCTTTTGTTTAATGAAATTATACTGCCTGTGGATTTGTTAGATTACTTTATATACACTTGTTTAAGTTGGGGGTCCCAAAGTACCGGCCAGGGAGCCAGTACCTGCAGCTGGCTGACAAGTCAGAATGTGGACCACGTACCTGACTCAGGGGAACAGCTACACAGTGTGCATCTCTGTCAGATGGAGACCGCATAGCTGCTCCTGGCGGTGCCTGAACTCAGTGTGTCAGAGCACAGTGTGAGTCACTGAGTGCCGGCCTAAGGAAGGATTAGTAAGGTCTGGACCAGCCGTACTAATCAATTGGACTTGATGGACTAATGTCTTTATTCAACCTCAAATACTATGTAACTATGTAACCACTGGACCACCAGGTAATGTGTCCCCTCCCTGCAAAAAATTTAAGCAGGTGAGGGGGCTCTTTCTTTTATTGTATGTTATGTGTGTGTGTAGGGGGGGTTGTTTTATTGCGTATTAATGTGTGTGTGTGTGCGTCATTCTGTGCGTGTGTGTATTATTGTTTGTGTTAGTGTGTGTATTTCTGGGTGTGGGTGTATTATCTGGTGTGTATTTGTGTGTATGTGTGTGTATTTCTCTGTGTGTGTATTTCTGTGTCTGTGTGCGTATTTCTCTGTGTGTGTGTGTGTGTGTGTGTGTGTGTGTGTGTGTGTGCATATTTCTGTATGTGTGTGCATTTCTCATAGCGCAAATTTCTCTGTGTGTGCATATTTCTCTGTGTGCATATTTCTGTATGTGTGCGTATTTCTGTGTTTGCGTATTTTTCTGTGTGCGTATTTCTCTGTGTGCGTATTTCTCTGTGTGCGTATTTCTGTGTGCAAGTATTTCTGTGTGTGCGTATTTATGTTTGTGAGTGTATGTGTGAATCTGTAAAACCTTGCCCTACTATCCAATTATTCCGGTCACATGTGATGATTTACATGTACTCCATTACGGGAGTTAAAAGAGACCCCTTACTATGTCTATTTCACGATCCTCCCCTTAAATCCACATCTCAGAATTCCTCTTTAACTCGTTGGGAACATCTGTGTGTACTTGGGGCAAACAAATTTATTCTGCAAAACTGGATCCTGCAGGAAACCCCTCACCTTTCAATTTTGAAACTTATTCTGTATACATTTCTCACTATGGACCTTTTGGACACATATCCCAGATCACTGGCACACAGTCGATGTTAGAGGACTGGTCAATGTTTGTTAGCAACGATTTATCTATAAGTCATAAAGCTAATTTAGAATCTTTTCTATTTGTCACCACTGGCTACTCACTGACATGTACCTAATTAATTGTCAACACAACCGGAGTTTATTTGGGTATCAATCATTCCATTGCCCTGGTTCTACTAACCTATCCCTTCTCTTGGATCTTACCTTACATTATCTTTCTTTTTTTTTTCTGATCTTGTATCTTAGACTATTTACATTTTTCTTTAGCAGTTCCTCCATTTTTTATGAGAATACTCCTTTAATATCTGCATACTTTTAACAATCTTGGCAATTTCGAGTTAGTTTGTTGTTGTATATGTTGATGACATATGTGGCATATGTCCTACCTCGTTCTTTTAGTCTTGTTCTTTTATGTGATGTTAACACTTAACTCTGCCTCATGAAGTTTATTATGCCTACCTTGGTTACATGTCAAACTATTGTAATCTCGAAACATACCTTTATTGACCGTGGTATTCCTTGTTTGGCCTTTTGTTGAACCTCAACAGCAGTTGTTCTGTTTGTTTTTACTTCTATACCAATGCCATTTTCTAACTAAATATGTCATTCTCATTTTCTTTTTTTCAATAAATAACTATGCAAAAAAATTAAATAAATTAAAACCTGTGGGAACAAAGCACACACATTTACTGACACTGCACACATATACATAGGTATACATACTGATATGACACACACAGAAATATTAACACACATGTTCCTCAATTTATCCTTTTTACCCTGTTACTGTTTGAGCATCATGGTCTTTATTTAAACAGAAGGTAGTAGGCATTTCTTTCATCACCTGCTTGTATCAATAGAGTGACTATCTTTATTAATTGCATCTTCTTACTATTATTATATAGGATTTATATAGCGCCAACAGTTTGCGCAGCACTGTACATTATAAAGAAGACATTACAGTTACAATAGAAATCAAGACAAGGTGGTAAGGAGGGCCTCTTGCTGAAACAGTGGTAGGACTTCCCATACTTGTATGATGTGACCTGTCAATCACTGGGTTTAAAGACAAGTGACTACATCACTATCTATCAGTCATGTCCCTGCATAAACCACTGGAGTTCATAGCATTCGGAAATGACTGAATTCACTAGGTGGCAGCATATGGTCATTTTGACTGCTTATGTATAACCTTAGTATTTCTTTGACAATACTATAATTTGAATTACAGTGTAAATAACATTATTGCTGTTTTCTCACCATGTTGTGGATCAGGAAATTATATACCTAAAACGTATCTACATTTTTTAATGTGCAGTAAGTTAGATAATATTGCCTTTCTGTTAAATAAAAGAACATTACATGCTGCATATTGTGAGGCCATATAAAATTAAGCAGACGTTATGCAAAACTCTGGAATTAGGTAAATTAAACTGTCTATAGACTTTAGAGGGCAGTTGATTGTCTAGACATGATCCAACCACCCTTAGTGCAAAAAACACCAGAGCACATTAATAACTTGTAGGTTCCACCTAGCTGAGCTTACAAGCATATTCTTTGCACACGGTAAGGGTGGGAAGCAGGAGTCTGGTGCCAGCTTATCAGGGGGCAGCAGTAGTGAGTGGGACAGGTTTTCTAATCTGTCTGGACATTAGCTCTACCCAACAGCTGCCAGCCAACTCGGAGGTTACCTACAGTTGGAAAATGCTGGATCAAGCAGCTGTCATCTGATCTTTGGGTATCTGTGCAGATAGATTGTCTGTATTGTGTTCTTGGTTATTTGTTGACTGCAAGTTACGATCAAGCATTAATGTAGGCAAGCAGGGCACTTGCACCACAACTCTGAATTATGGGCCCTTCCCTGTCTCTATCACCTTTTACATTTCATGTTTTGCTTTAATTAGAAAAACCCTCTGTACAAGCCATTTATTAACATTTGGGGACAGGAATCAGGTGGTTGAACTGCTAAGATTACAGTTTTACTTTTATCTTTCAGCCTTTTTTACGGCTGACCAATATTTCTTTTTAGAAACAGAAGTGCCCTAAGTGTTCAATCCTCCTGGCAGTTAGAGCGAGCCACTCAGTAGGCAGAAGCACTCCATACTTTTCCCATCTCAAAAGGGGAGTACCATTGTGATTCTGTAATCCTCCAACAGCCTAATAATTGAACTGGTTCAGTTGGTGTAGTTTCCCTAAACCTTTTTTTCTGCAGGTTTTCAAGCAAACCTTTCCTTAAAAAAAAAGCTTGGGGTCCCCCTTAAATCCCTTACCAGATCCTTGATCCAGGCAACAGCCTGGCAGAGCAGGAAAGGAGTGAGGAGCGTGCACCCCCCTCCCCCTTTTGCACCATACTAGGCCACATGCCTGGTATGTGTAGGTTGCTTTGCCATGCTTTCCCCATGGCGATGAGCACAAGGGCCTCTTCCCTATTCCAGTGGTTGTGGGCAGGGGGGCTTATAGGAATATATGGGTACCCAGATGCCGCCCACGTGTGAATGAGTAAATGGTACTCGCACACTTTTTTTTTTAGGTTGGGGTCCCTCCTAAAATTCTTACCAGACCTAAAGGGTCTGGTATGAATTGGGGAAGGGACTGCATGCTTTCTTTTTTTTTATGTTTAACAACATAAATTAATTTAGAATGACATTCGTAAAAAATTATGGATGCATCCAAACCAAAATTTTTGTTATCAAAGATGTACACATATGCCAACATTCATCCAATTTTAATTCAGAACAAAACAAATCTTACATGTATACTACTAACTAAACTCAGTTTAGTTCCTGACTAACAGGGTACCCCCTAATGGGGTCCTAAAAACAAACAGGTCGCACTTGTACTTTATTAAGTATTCTGTCAGCACTCAGCCTTTTCCCTCAGCAGCAGGCACCCACATCAAAGAGAGCAAGAGAGAGAGGAAGTCACTCACATACAGTCATGACCAAAAATATTGGCACCCCTGCATTTCTGTCAGATAATGCACCACTTTGCAGAAAATTGTTGCAATTACAAATGTTTAGGCATTCTCATGTTTTTTGCTTTTGTTTGTATTGGTATGACACAAAAAAGTGGAGAAAAAAAGCCAAACCTTACAAATTCCACGCAAAACTCAAAAAATGGACTGGACAAAATGATTGGCACCTTCTCCAAATTGCAAGAAATAATTGCATTCCAAGCTTGTGATGGTCCTGTAATTTGTAATGAAACTCACCTGTATCAATTAACAGGCTCTGACATGATAGAAATCACACCAGCAACTAGTTAAAATGGTGAAAAATTAACTCAACCTTTCTGTTGTGTGTCTCTGTCTGCCATACTGAGCATGGAGAAGAGAAAGAACAGCAAATAATTGTCTGAAGATTTGAGAACAAAAATTGTGGAAAAGAATGGACAATCTTAAGGTTACAAGTCCATCTTCAGAGATCTTAATGTTCCTTTGTCCACTTTACAAAACATTGTCAAGAAGTTTACAGCCCATGGCACTGTAGCTGATCTGCCTGGACATGGACAAAAAAGAACAATTGATCAAAGATTGCAATGAAGGATTGATCAAATGGTGGATAAAGACCCTTGATTAACTTCCAGACAAATCCAAGCTGACCTTCAGGCACAGGGTTCAACTGTGTCAGCTCACACTATATGTCGCCATCTGACTGAAAAGGGATGCTATGGTAAGAGACCCAGGAGGTCTCCACTGCTGACACAGAAACATAAAAAAGCCAGATTGGAGTTTGCCAAAGCTTACCCGAGGAAGCCAAAATCCTTTTGGGGTAATGTGCTGTGGACAGAGGAAGCAAAATTA